TTCGCGGCGGCACTACGACGGCGGGCAGCGTCCTCAGCAGCGGCGGCGCGTCCCTCCACCTCGCGGACACGTTCCTCGAGCTCAGCCTCCAGCCGCTGTGCGGCATCCTCCTTGTCCTTCGCGGCGGCACTACGACGGCGGGCAGCGTCCTCAGCAGCGGCGGCGCGCCCCTCCACCTCGCGGACACGCTCCTCGAGCTCAGCCTCCAGCCGCTGTGTCGTTTTTCTTTTATGCTGGGCGGCGGCGTCGAAGTAATGTCCATTGTGTATTGCATTGTAACTTTGGGGCCGTGTTTGGTAAAGAGCGGCCTGCCATTTAGGGTCTTCGTTTTCGATTCGTTTAGTTTTGTTTGATGCTGAGTTTAATTGTTTGCGTGCATGAAGCTTTAGTAGTTGCGGCGAATCAAAGTCTGATAGCCTACTGTTTTGATAGTTGGACTCGATAACGACACACCCATGTGTGCAGCTGTGCAAAGTCTCCTCCCTAAGTGCTTCATCCCCAGAGATGCATGTAATAAGGGCCATGCTACGAACCTCCGGCGAAGGAAGGAGTTGACGGAGTAGCCAGCACGACTTGTCTGCAGGCACAGGGTGTCCTGCGATGTAGTCCCGCAGCACACCGAGGTCGCTTTGAAAGGTCCGGTTCCCGTGACGCAGTTGCGGCAGCAGAGAGATGGTAAAAGCACAGGACGTTGAGACTGTCCCCGCCCGTGCGGAAAGGCTAAAAACAACACAAGCATGACCCTCCGGAATAGCACAAGCAGAGATAAGTGAACTTCGGAGGACAGCATCGTCGCGTGTTGTGACCACGTTATGCTGTAGGTGGTAGCTCGACCACTCACTGGGATCACCTGCAAAGATACCCGTTGGGCGTTTCGCCACAACGCGCTGGTTCAAAACGTCAGTGACACCCCATGAGTAGACGCGCATCACACTGTACTGAAGCCGCACAGTGGCATGGCACGTGCTGGCCGTCAGGTCGAGGGCGTGGCGGACCGTCGCGAGCACCAACGCGTGAAAAAGCTCAGCGGAGTGGGCGCAGAGCTCTCCGTGAATGATGGCGCCATGCACCGGGCACGTCGGCGCCCCGCAGGCGTACGGACATCCCTCGCTGAAGTTCTCCGCCACATAGCGCGCCAGCACGGCCTCGTACACCGTGGCGTAGAAGGGGTGGTAAGTCACACTGTCGAAGCGGAATCGCGACGTGCCCGCCGTCCCGCCACGCACAAGAACATCGCCAGTTTCTGTATCGACAAGGACGCTACTGGGGCTGTCATGCGTGGGCGTGATGTAGGCGCAGCACGCAACGTTTTTTATGGTTTGTGCCATGATGCAGTGCTAGTAATCTAGGAGTAAAAATTTAAGAGGTGAAGCTTTCCTTGCAGTATGACAGCTGTAGACCCCAAGTGGTGACGCCGAGGTGGTGCCCGGGGCAAGTTGAAAGTTACGATAGAGAACGGGTTGGACGTCTACAATGGAAGACAGAGTGAGAAAGAACCCTCATCTATACCAGACGACATCAGGCCTTACGTTGTTGTTTTGTGGATCAAGAACGGTGACATTTCGGCCGAAGTGGGTGAGGTGTGGGAGTTGTGTGCATGGGAGGTCATCGTCCTGCGCGGCACCACGTTGTGGGGATGGCGATTGTTGCCCATAGTCCTGCAGAAGGTGGGGCCTGCTCCTGGACCTCAGCGTTGAAGGCGATGGTGGCTCAGAAGTGGAGGTATGGGTGCCGTTGACTAGCATGAAAGGATGGGTTGGCGTAGGCGCGGAGGGCTGGTCCCGCTGGTTATGTGGCGTGGGGCCACCGAATCCATCCCTCCCTGAGTAGTACTCATTGGGGAATTCCGATGAGCTCGAAGGCGGACGCGTCGACGGGGCATCCCTTTCCGCAGTGGGCACCTCCCACTCAGTAAGAGAACTTGTCATGCTGGGTGAACACCGCTTTTCCCGCAGTGTCGTTTGCGTCGATGCAGATCTCTTAGGTTGTCGCATCCGTGACTCTAACCACTTAATGTAGTAGCACCGATATGTTCGCTGCTGTACAATGCTTTTCAGGTGTTGATACGCCCGAAGAAACTGCGCAGAGGAGAGAAAAAGTTTCATCGCCCTCGCTGCTGCCACTTCTGCGTTTAGGGGCACTTTTTCCTCAACGGAAAGAACACTGGAGACCTCCTCGATGGTGTGGCACGATATCCGCTCGTGGAATGCGTGTGTGTCGTTCATCTGTAACCGTAGCGGACTTACGTTGATCATCCCACTATCCGGAGACCAGTCGGTATATGCATCCCCGGGCCGATCCCATGCCGCTGCATCGCCCACATGCAAATGCGCGACACGCGGTGCTTCTCCCATTTCATCGGTGAAGTCGTCCCGATTTGGGTATCGTGGCACAGCGCACGCCTCGTGTGTGTCCCAAGCGATTTCCTGAATATCATCAGACGATGCAACGGACCCCATGATGGTCACGCTACGTTTTCTGCACTCCGATCCGCTTGCTTTTTCATCACGGGCTGCTATTGCTGCAAAGCCATTCATTGCACCTATTTCATCCAAGAAGAACAGAAAGTTGAGGCATTCTCGTGGAGGCAGAGACGACGGCTGGGGCAGAGAGGGGAGGAGCATTCCACGGATGTCACCGGAACGCGTTGGGAAGGCCTTTTTTTTTTGCAATTCCTCATCTAAAAGTCAAAATGGTAGTACTTGATTCTATGAGGGGGGGCTGCCTGCTCCTCTGTGATGGGCGAAAGTTCCCCTATGTCCACCGTCCGCTTCGACTCCTCCCCCTCCTCCTCCTCCGATGACTCCCTCGACACATCGCGTGAAGGACTGGACGTGTGGCTGCGCATACCTTCCATCCCTTGCGAGGTGCAGTTGACAGGAGTAGACGGACGTGGAGGTCGGCACTGCTGCACATCCGCCACACGCCGCCCACCATCACCAGCAAGGGGGCTGCCATCCTCATCTCCAGAAATCTCCCCCTTTGCGGTTGACAACGTTGAGCAAAAACTGCTGCTCTCCGATCTGTCTGTGTTTTCGTGTGCGGCGCCGGTCGCTCGGTTCGGGCCGCCGTACTGACAGGAGTTCTCCTGGATGCGCGCACGCTCCAGCAGGATACTCGAGAGTGGTGGTGGGCTTTTCTTCTCTTTCAACGGCGCAGCGGCGCCTGCAGGAGTGGCGCACCGCTCCTCAGTCGGGTCCACCCACACCACATGCTGCGTTTCTTGCGGTGCGATGTTTCCAACTGGAGCAGCTGTTTGAGCCGCAGCTGCAGGGCATGCGGAATGGACAGCATTACCGTCAGAAAGGCGATCCGTTCGACGCTCCCCCACACGCCGCGCCGTCATGGAGCGCGTGCTCCATGCACGCCAGTCGCGGAAAAATTCCCCCAGCAAGTCCAATTGGACGCGCCGCCGGAGTGCCATATACTTGGGCAGCGTAGTGCTCGTCGGGAGGCGCGCCGGCCTTACCTTCCGTGTCGCCGCGTACTCCACGATGAGGAAGCGAGGGATTGACGCCACCCGCTCCTTCAATTCGCGTCCCGAGAGCGACGACAAAGTACCGACCGACGCAACGGCATCTGGAGACCCGGTGGCAGTGGCCCTGCCTTCGCTCCATCGCCCAGGGTTAATAACCTGCGGCATGTCGTCTTCCGCGCTCAGCTCCGACGGCGACGAACACGCTGCCTTCGCCTCCACCATAGGAAGCGTCTCCTCACGCCAATATGACGGCGGCGGGGAGGACACGTCTCTTTCTTCACCACTCAGGCTGTGTGGCGTGACATCTGTTTCTTCTGAAAATGCATCCGAGGAGAAGTCGTAGACCGCCTCCACCATGTCCACTGGAGGCACTGTACCCTCTCGTGGACCAGAAGCACCCCGGTCGGAAGTTACTTCCACACCTTCGCAGGGAGGCTTTGCATCGTCCGGGTTCACTGCCGAATCCTGCGACTCGTGCGAAGCCACAACATCGACATCATTGTCTCCACCTCTGATACAGCAATGATTGTATTCATCCTCCTGAGCGTCCCCATCGTTCAGCTCCTCAGCATTATCAGATAGCACTGTTACGTCACTTTCCCTGACGATGTCGGTCAAGGATAATATATCTTCTCCAACTGGAGGCACGTTCTGTCGATCAAGCGCAGAGTCGGAGGGTTCCCTCCCTTCCTCCATCGTCTGATCGTACAAAATATCAGGGTCTGGCTGAGTTTTTGTTCCCACCCTCGTCACAGAACTCTGCGCAGCACCATCTGCTTGCACTGTATCATTCCTAACCCCAACACCTCGAGTTCTCTGCAGTCGCAGCACGATGTCGCGCAGCTCCGGAACAGGGGGCACCCCCTCCCGCTCCTTTAGGGTTTCTCGGCTGTGCTGCCGATTTCTATCCACTGCACTAAGCGGTGCCCTTGTGGCACGATCTGTACGTGTGAATTGGCGTGACGACTTGACTCGGCCGCTGGCCGTCTCGGCACCACCAAGTCTGCCTCTCGTGTGAACTACACGAGCATTTGCAGAAGCACTCGCTTCTCGTGGTGACGACTTATCATCCCACGATGGGCTCTCCCTCACACGCCCAGAAGAGTAGCCAGCTTCCAAACCAATGGTAGTACAAATAGAAGTGCCTTCTAAAAGGACACCCGCCCCCTTGCTGTGAATGGGGTTTCCGCCCCTTCTTTCCTGCGAAATACGCTGAACGTTGAAGTAGTAACGGCTTGAGGTTCCGCAAGGAGACTGAAAAGAGTCCCCATTCACCGTGTGTGAAGCGTTGAACTCACGACGTAGAATTGCAGAACGTGTGAGCCGCGGGGTATGGGCTGCGCCGTCATTCAGCAGACGAGATAGAGCCTCACTCCCAAGGGCAGCTGAACGGGCGCGGGGCCTTTGGGCTGCTGCTGCAATGGCCTCACTCTTCCTGCCACGTGTATCATTGTGGACAGAGGCTGAAGGATGACATGAGGTCCTTTTGTTTAAAGCCCGTGGGGAGAGCAGATCACTCTGCCACACCGCCCCATGGTTGTTGTTGTTGTCACGACCCGGTACCTCCAAACGTGGAATCTTCGGTGAGTCACTGCTGCTATTCATAGCACCCTCTTGTTGTTTTTGCACATGACAGTCCGGCGCCATTTTTCCACGCGACGTCCTGTTGGGCGAGTCGTGCACCACAGCGGGGAGCGGCGCCTCTGCGACTGCCGTTGCGCCGGCAGACTGCAGGGCCCCCTCCTCCAGCCGCTGCTGGTGCGGGCTCTCACACGGCATGCCGCCCACCGGGCCCCGCGGGGACGGAATGCGGAAAAACAGAGGGTCCCGTCGGTAGTCAACGCCCACGTAAAGCCGCGGTGGCGGCTCGTAGTGGTACCGTGGTGCTGCTGCCATGGGTGCTGCTGTCCCTTCACTCTTCTTTTTTCCCCCCTCAAATATTATGATGCCCTCACAAGTCATGGAAACAGTGGAGGGAGACCAAACCGGGTGGACAAAGCAACAGGAAATAGAGCAACGACGCGGGCAGCGGTGACAGAAACCAAAAAACAAAACACAACAATAAGCAAGGAACCCCTACGAGGCATCTCAATGCGCACGAAAAACGTACGAGTTCGCTAGAGCCACGTTCCGAATCCACCGGGAGGGATTGTAGGAGCTGCTACGCTCCTCCAGCCGGAGCACCTTTATGCCCAAGCCAGTCACACTATACTGCGGGATCTCAAACTGCATCGAGATAGGCCCAACATCAAGTCTTGTTGCTGCGGTGATGGGTGTGGTCGTTGAGAAACGGATCTTGCACACTTGCTCGGTTCCACCAAGGAACTTCGCGATGCTCCAGATTACACACTTCTCCTCATCCTTGTAGTCGTACGACTGTTCAGTGGCTCCGATACCGAATTCCACAGCCGCCGCCGTGCACGCCAAAGGCAGAGGGACTCTCACCATCACGGCAATGCCATGCGTTGAGGCGGGTATCTCGGCTCGAATCTGGAGTGTCATCTCCGCTCGGTAGGTGGAGAGGAGCTCAAGCGAGTGCACGAGACGGAATGGCTGCGCACCTTCTGCGCTCAATCTGTAGTTCATGAGCGTGAATTCGCCTTCGGGGGGCCGAATCGATAGCTGTCGCTCTGTCTCAAAGCTGGAGTAATCAGCATCCTCATGAAAGTTAACGCTGTCGAGCACCACCGATGCGTACCGCATCCTGTTCGGGCTGCCACGCCCCACCACCAAGTCCTCATTGAGGTTCAAATACAGCACAGGGGAACCGGCGAGAAAACTCTTCATTATGATGGAGCCGTCCACGTCCGACACCACCACCTGTCCAGCACTATTGAATACAACATTTAGTCGCTCCACAACATCGATAAAAATCTCGTTCTTCCGCTCGCCCGAAGCCTGCACAATAGAGGAGCCAGCAGCATCACCAGCCCGCGTCCGATCAGTTAGCTCCCCTCGCCTCAGCCTCCCAAAGAAGGACTCGGTTGAGGTAGCCTCCGAATTGAACGCAGGAACAACTTCGTTGAAGATGTACGGACGCAAGCGTTCGGCGTTGAGCTCCTGTGGAACGCCCACGTCAAACATCTCATCCAACAGTTCATACACCAGTGTGAAGTTCTTGCGGATGCTCTCCTCCGAGAGGACCCCCAAGTAATCCTTAATCACCTTCACGATTCGCAGCAGAATCTCCACTGTGAGGCTGGAGGAGGCGTTTACCAGAGACGTGCACACAAAGAGGAGCTCCCGCCGCTTCACAAAACAAAAATTCACGCCCTTCTCAATGAAGAAGGGCGGACAGTCACCCTCCGGCGCTTGATGGTTTGCGCCGTCCCAGAACTTGTACTTGCGAAAGAAGACCTCATCTGCGTTGCGAGGGGCGTCCTGCCGGTAATCTTTGAAGACGAGTTTGTCACCGCGGGGGGACAAAATAAACAACTGCGAGATGTACATCTCTACACTGGGAAGGGACAACTGCGGGGAAAGGAAAAGGCGCAGCTGAAAAAGAGAAACATCGTGGAAGTGTGGGGAACCCAGGGGAGAGGAGGAGAAATACCGCGCAAAAAACAGGCAGACAAAAAAGTTTACGCAAGTCGTACTATTCGCTATGAGCATTCTACTCTTGCGCCGATTCCTTTGCCTGTGCCCCTTTGCTGGCTGGCACGTTGACGTAGCACTGACGCAAAGCGGCTGTCATGCGGTCAATGTCTTTCGTCAGCTCACTATTCTTATCCAGTATCAACTGCAGGTGCTGGTCTGCCCTTTGAATGTCTTGCCTCCACTTGCGAACAAGTGTCCCCACCAGCTCAACTGTCTGTTCTGCTTCTTCCTTCACCTTGGCCTCGGTCGCCTTGCAGGACCGAACCACACGGCGCCGCGCACTCGATACGGAGTACCATGTAACCAACAAGATGAGCAGGCAGACCGCGGGGATATTGTGCTCCTCTTTCCACTTGTGGTGAACAATACCGACGGCATGCGACTGAAAGGCGTTAAAATCGCGTTGCTTCACCGCCCGAAGGATGTCGGCCGTGGGAATGCTGTACTCCTCCTTCACCTCAGCCGCTCCTGCTGCTGGTGCGTTCGTTGGTTTCGCGGTTGCTCCCCCTGTTGTGTTTGTTTGGGCCGCAGTTGCTCCAGCTTTTGCTGCTGCTGCTGCTGCTGCTGATGTTGTTGTTGCTGTTGTGCCTGATGTCGAGCTCGCACTCTCAGGTGCCGATGCTCTGCTCTCGCCGTCATGTGAGAAGAGGCGACAGCCATACCAAAGAGGCACGGCAACAATGGCTCGTGTCGGCAGCAGCGCCCTCCGCATTAGTCTTACCTTCCGTTAGTACGCGGCCCTTTTATCTTCGCTTCTGTCGCAAGCGTCGAGAGATGGGAAACGCCATGGCGAAATGAATCGAATGTGCGAAAGGCCCAGGCACAAGGGGAAGAGGCATTTGATGCCAAAACACAGTTCACGATTGAAAAAAAAAAAAAAACAGGCACACACTACAAAAACAAAACCCGGAGGAGGAGTAATGCAAAAGCAAGATATGCAGAAACTCCACAGTTTACTCGCCGTGTATCACCTGCAACTCTGATGCCTTCATCACAACCGCTACAAATGCAAATTTTGTTCCTTCAGGAAGTCGCACCACCGCCGCGGTTCGCTCGCCCGGCAGCGTCCAGTGCACGATATGCTCCTCGAAGTCCAAAGCAACTTTGATCTTCGTGCCAGCAGTGTAGGAGCTACTCGCCTTGTCGAGGACAAATCTTCCAATGTTATGAATCACCCGCCCGTCGTTCCAGAACAGTGCGAAGCCCTCACAGTTAATCGCGTCGTTCGCACTTCCCAGACGTGCGCCCTCCGCCACAACCCCGACAGCCACCGTCTCGCACCGCTTCACATCAAACATGATGGAGTGCAGGCCGCTCGAGTAGAATGGGCTCGCCGCCGCGCACACCAAATCCGCGAAGAGCGTATTGCCGCACGGAAGCGGGTGGAAGGGCCCGGAGGAAGCGACGGGATACCGCGACTTCCACGAGTGCTGCAAGCCGTAGAAGCATGCCTCCTTGTAGCAGGCCTCACGGTATGCCTCCGGGACGGGGCTTCTGTAGCCGCGGAGAAGGTTCAGCAGCATACCGAAGAGAGTTGCGTCCCGCGAAGGGATCTCAATCACGTCACTACCGCGGCCTCTGTCGTCACCGCAGCAGAATAGTCTCTCTGCCAGCAGAAATAGTACTGATTGCGGATCCTTTTGCAACACATCGCGATGCACAGAGAACATCTTACCGTCCACACGGAAGTTCACAATTACAGGCACACCAACATCGAATTCCAAAAGGGTGCGCTGAAGACTACTCAGTTCGCTGGTTTTCTTCGCAAGCCAAGACTGAGGAGGATCAGCTGTACCGGCACTGAATGGGACTTTGTGATCCCCTGATAGGAACGAGGCAGCTGCCTCTTCATCCGAATCAGCGTGCATAGCACGGCAAAAGCTACGCTTTTCTTAGCCTTCCTACCACCCTTTCACAGGCCCTTGGCTTGACAGAATAGTCTGTACCTTACCGTCCTTCGTGACGTAGAGAAGAGTGGAGAAAGTCTCACATCTTATGTCGGCAAAGCCTCAGGAATTCGCATAGATGGTGTCCAAAGGGAAAAATACAAAAGAGTTACTGGTTATGAAACTGACGCAAAGGAGGTGCTGAAAACGCCCCTAACACGCCTCCCGCGCGGGGCGGAGAGGGTTGGGTTGGATGCGTGTTTTCAAAACTCACACTTTGCGACACTTTCTTACCTAGTAGGTATGAAGTCAAGCCGGAATCATTATGGATGTATTGTCAAAGAAATAGTAAGGTTTGACGATTCCTTTCGCAGGCACCCACAATAAAAGGTGTTGGAGAGCCGATGTCACATTGGCCACTGCAGCAGCAGCATCTAGATACAAAAACATCAATGCTCACACTCATCCCACTATTAATATATCAATGTCGATCCCTTTGCGAAGAGACACCACTTTATTAGCTTCTGAAATCTCCTCTTCCCTAGAAGGAGTGGCTAGGCACAACTGGAAAGTTTTGGTGGTACATTTCGGGTGACATATATTTCCGAACGATGATGTGCATCGGCGCCGCCTCAAAATCAGGCAGCTGCAGAAAGTCCTTCGTTGGGTCCTGGTCACCAGCCGGGGGCTCCTCGCACAGGCGTCGCGGCGGTAATGTGATCTCGCAGGGGACATCATCAGGCCCACAAAGAGTGTTATTTTTAGCTGACGCAGCGCTGTTAATGATGATTGCGAGTGCATGTCTGGATGGACTCGAGTTGGCGATATACGTGTGGAAAAAATTCTGAAGAGTTGCGGCGTCCACCTGTTGGAGAGCTTCGATCTCTGCCTCTTTGTAGTCAAGGCCGACGGGATGCAGGTAGCGTTTCACCAGGTCAGCGCAGTCTTGCTCCACGGAAGCGGGAAGCTTCCGACGTACTTCAATAAGGCCATTCACAACTGTTTTGACCTCTGCGTCATCGCACACAGCAGTGAGGTTCTCCTCCACAGCCGCGAGGTACGCCATGATCCGGGAGAGAAGATACACACCGTCAACACCATCCAAGGCACTTTGGGCAACAAAGTGCAGGTGCGCCGTGCCCTCCATCCGCACAGACTGCAAGTAGACAATATACCCAAGAGACTCCCGTGTGCGGAGGGAATCGAAGAAGCTGGAAGATAACAGTTTCTGCATACTGTCGCAGAGAGCCCACAGCTGTGGGGTAACTTCGCCAAGATAAATGTCGAGGATCACTGCAACGTTTGGATTATCTGCGCTAAACGGGGGAAAACTCAGGACATCCACAAGCGGAGGCTGAGGTACCGGTAGAGAAGCCCGAGTAAACGCGTATGTATCACGGAATCGGGGAATACTCTCCTTTGCTGCGGGTGGTACTTGTAATCTTCGCAGCGTCTCCTCAACGCCACGTACTAAGTGCTCCCGCACGTAAGCTGTGGAAGGGACATTCCCGGCAACATAGCACTCAAAGTACACACCGCTCAACAGATAGTTCTTCACGAAGGATAGATACTCATCGTGCGATGCAGATGCCGCCTCGACGAGCACCTCCTCAAAGGTGTGCATAACTCTTTTCACTACCTTTGAGAATTTTGACGTTGCCAATTCGTAGGGCTGTGCGGATACTCTGCTTGCAAGACGCCGCACCACTGCTTCCGCGTAGATGTTGTACTTCTCCACTGAGCCGTACAGGATAGCTTGGGTGTAGGCCTTTTCTAATATGGCCAAGAAAAAATCCACTAAACGGTGTTGTGGCCCTGTCACGGCCAGTGTCAGACCGCCCAAGCCCATCTTAACGGTGTTCTCCAGGGCCGCAAGTTCACCAAAGTAGCTCATCTCTGCGATGGCGTCGCACAAGATATGCCCCGCCACTTGCGTGTAGAAACAGTTCTTTGGCGACGCGTACGCGCAGGGCGAAAGGCCACTCCACATCACAGACGTCTTGAACGACTTGTGCCTCCCTGTATCCTTCCGCACCAGCGCTACGCCGTATCCGGTGTGAAATGTCTCCACACCAGCATGATCGTCGTCATTGTTGTTGCAATAAAGCGTGAAGTCCGTCGAGAGGAACGGATTGACAGGGGGGAGGGCAAGCGCACTGTGCCACGGCCCGCGCAGGCTGGCAGCCCAGCGCGAGAGAACCCCATCGGGAATGCGGTGCATCGCGAACTTCGTGTGGTGGAAGCGCGTGGTGGAATTGCACGGCACGCGGGCAAAGTCAGGCAGACTCTCAAACAAATCCCTTGCGCCTCCACCTTCCTCCTCCTCCTCCTCCTCCTCTTCTTGCTCCTCCTCTGATTGGTTCCTCTTTTCTGTACCGCTGTCACTCTCCCCTAACCCCACTTCCGTCTCGGCAGCGGGCGGAGACCCCGCAGAACTATCGCAAGGCATGTCTCCCCACATCAGCATCACAACACAGTTCTCCGGCCTCAACTGAGCTGTGTAAGCCTCTTGCGCAGCCACATCATCTTCGAGTACCACATCCCCGCCAATCCAGCAGTGCTGCAGGTCCACCTCGTTCGCCGAGCCCGCGAGTTCCGCACAGAGGGAGACAGCACTGCTGCTGACATCAGAGGACTCGAAAGTAAGCCTCGCCTCTGCCTTCATCTGCGCGTACACGGCATCGTCCACGCGCGTCGCCTGGCCAATGCCCTGGTATACCATGTCCACCACATCCACCACGCGCCCAAACCCCCCCACGGTCAGTTCAATATCGACACTAAATACCACGTTGTCGTTGTCAATACGACGGGGGCCAACAAGCATCGCGGTGGCCAGATTCTCGCGGCGCAAAATGCCAATGACAGAAGAGTTGCACTCGTGACCAAGAACATGTGAGACATACGCGCCGGGCAACGACCGCCATGAGGCGCTGTCTGACTTCACAAGCCATAGCAAACGAATACACCGTGCTTTCTTAACGGTGCGGACATTCACCCACATATTTTTTGCTGTCTCCGCCAAAAGCGTCTCGCCAGCTGGGAGGAAGCAGAAAGGGGTAGGCGCCCCCGCCCGCAACCTCGACAGCGGTGGCTCTATGATGCGAAGCACGGACTCTGGAGGCAGAGCGCTATACACAGCGATGCAGGCTGCCCCCGAGACGTAATGCGTGTTAAAGAACTCCAGCAGTTTCTCCCGGACGTCCACATTGTTAGCCCGTGGCTCATCCCACAACGTTGTGATGTTGCCGTTTCCATACCGGCTTCGTGGGTGCCTTGCATCCACGAGAGACCGTTGCAACTCATCAATTCGCCAGAAGTCCACGCTGTGGTTCTTCTCGTCCTCACTGTGCACAGCTTTGGCCTCCCGCGACATTGAGCTGGGGTTGAAACTTGGGGCAACAAAGAATTCGACAAAGCGCTCCAGCGCCCCTTCCAGCGCGTCTTGCGCCACGGTGAAGTAGAATGTGGTCCCCATATCAGTTGTCCAGGCGTTCGTGGATCCACCATTCTTGTTGATATAGCTGTTATACTCATCCTCACGTGGATACTTGGCCGTACCCATGAAAAGCATGTGCTCACAGAAGTGTGCGAGACCAGGGACCACTTCCGGGTCGTTTAGAGTTCCCGCAAGAATATTCATAACGGCCACAGGGATCTTAGCGTCGGTATCTTGGATAACAATACACTTGACTCCATTTCCCAAGATGTAGCCAAAGCACCGGGCGCGTAGGACCGAGGGGGTAACTATTTGAACCGCCTCCCGCTGGAATGACATACTAGAGTATCCTTTGACATGTAGTGATGACAAGAAACCACAAAAGACCCTCCAGAAAAGTGCATAGGCATGGAGGCGCAGCATCCCTCTATTAGAACTTGTTCTGCATGAAGCACATCATCCACTCCAAAATATGGCACCTTTTGCACCAACACATCAACTCCTACGCAAAGGGTCATCGCCAGTAGACGCGCCCACCGAAAAAGGGGCACTGTATGCTCGCATAAACTCAGCGTCCTCATTAGCGTGAACAGAATTTGATGATGTGCCAGCCATATCACCTTTCCCATTTCCATCTGTCGCTGAAGCAACACGAACCCCATTCCCATCACTGTCAGCAATCCACTCAACAGTTGGTGCATTCCCCGCGAAAGGAAATACCCAGAGAAGGAAAAAACGCACAACCACAAAGGCAGTCGTCCATAATACACACAAACGGAGCAGCGTCTGCGTCCGGCTATCGACATAGTTTTCTGTCGTTGACCCCGGCTGCTCGTACACGTACATTCCCATTTTCGGGTCCCAACCGTGACGTCCACCGCCTCCCGTGGGGCCTTCACCATCGGCATCGTGCTTCCGCCACCTGCCGTCCTTCAACGCCTCGTAGGCCTCATTCACCGCTTGAAATCGCTCCTTGCTACCTTCAGGGCCGCCGTCCGGGTGGTACCGCAGCGCCAGTCGATGGTATGCCTTCTTCACCTCCTCCTTACTGGCATTGGGGGCGAGCCCCAGAATACGGTAGGGGTCAAACGGTCCACGTTCTGCTGCTCGCAACACGCGCCAGGAGCGCCGCATCAGTGGTCAACCTTGAAAATGAGAGAAGCAAAGGGGAACCAAACGAAATTCGCATATCCAACGCCCTTAATAAGAGATGCTCACTGCAGCAAAGACAACGCCACCATCTTATGTCTGAGGACACCGCGTGGCCAACGCGGCACACGATGGAAGAAGCTTCTCATCCAACCCGACAAGCTGGCCAACGGCTTGCAGAAACAACTCGAGCAAATTCCCCTTGACACCTTCCGACGCAACGGCTGTCAGGAGCTGCATGGTGTCGCATTGATGGAGACCCCAGAGCGCCATTTGCAACTCTTCACAGAATGTCATGGATATTATAGGGGCTTCGTAGCTTCCTCCCTCTTCAGCGTCTGAGCACACACACTCGCCCATCAACGTGCACAACTCTTGAGCACTCAGCGGGCGCTCCGGAAAAAAGTGCAGCTGCGGCTGACAGTAGCACTCACTGTAGGTAAGAAAGAATGTTACGATTAGACGCTCACTGTGGTCATCTCCCACACCACGCTGAAGCGCACTAGAGCCTTCAAGCCACGTGATTATCCGACCAAAAATATCTTCCTTTCGGTATATCCGCCATCCCACCAAACGCCTTGCCAATCCCTCCGCCATCACTTCGAACTCGCCACGCGTGCAAGTCAGCAGTTCCATGCGGAAACTCCTACTCGATGACGCGGTAAAGAAAGCAAGAGACATGCACCACCAAAACATCCGTACACAGAAACCCACTTAATGGGTGCTCAGAAATAGGGTAAAGAAAAAAAAACATACGATCTAAATGCCACTAAACAAACCAATTCCATGCGCAGCTGCCACTCGTACAGTCTCAGACTTCTCTGCGGCGCCAACGAGCTCAACGAGAGAGGCTGAGACCTGCTCCACACCACATCGAGACAACTCCCCCGGGGCAATGCGACTCACAAATGCCCCCAGAATCCACGCAGCGTTTCTACGGAGCAGCTCAGTGGGTGACCGTGTGAATGACACAGTCTGCAACATGTATTCCCTCATCATACCGGGAAAATGTAAAACCCACACGGAGGCCACGTCATCGTAGAGCTCACCAACCTCTGTCTCATGTGCAATGTGCATGTGCGGTTTGGACGAAATCTGCTTTATCTTCAACTCTGCGTCGTCCTGAAGATGGGCAATAAATGTGAAACACTCACGCACCGCACCCTTTGCAGCGACACAAACATTCTTATCCCTCTCATCCAAGTGCAACAGCATCGGTACCACGTACTGGTACACGTGTTGACTCACGGAGACCCTCTCCTACAAATCGCGGTTTGCCAGGGAGTAGAGTTTCCGGAAACAGTCGAACGCCGCGCACCGGAGGTTCGAATCCTCATGCTCAAAAAATGACCTCACCTTTATGGCGATCGTCACGAAAGAATCGTTCATGAGGGACTTGTCCTGCAGCTCCTCCCCCAACACGCCAATAACATTGATGGCACTCACAGCAAGAGAAGAATGCTGCGACTCCATGCACCCCAAGGTAGCTGACAGGATGGGCGCCGCAAAACGATGAATGGCTGTATATGGATGCTTGAGAACATTTACAATGTTTGCAAGGATGACCTTTCGTGTGGCGGCCTCCTCATCGTCCCCTGTCCTTTATAATAATGCCATTATTAGAGCGCGGATGAGTTCTTCGTCTCTCAATACAAAAGAAATAAGCTCACCGCAGACGCACACGGCAGCCTTGCGGTGGGCCACCGAAACATGGCCACAGTACGGTAGCATAAACCGCGCCAACTCGTAGGCAAGGGGCGACGGCGAGGAAGGCTCCATCGCAAATCTCCTCTCCGCGTCGGCGATCTTCCCACGGTCTATATCAATACTGTCGCCCAAGCCGTCACGGCACCAGTAGCAAACCGCCTCACCAATAGCCGTCAAGTAGCTCTCCTCCACGACAAAGTTGTTCCACTCATAGCGATCAAAGCGAACGATGGTGACATCCTCCACAGTGTTTATTATCACATACTTCAACGCAGTCCCACAGAGAACCGTGGCGCTATCATCATTCACACTTCGGCACGCAGTGAGGAAGAGAACTATAGCCATGTATAAGGATGCACGATGCCCACGGCAGATAGAACTACCACGTTCGGTTTGGGCGATCCACCCCGCCCCGCACACCGCAGAGAGTACCTTGGAAGACGCAGCGAGACTGTTGCCATGTGCAGATGCAGCGTCTGTCATGGGACTGTTCAGCACGGTGTCCAGGATGTGTTGTATGAGGAGCTCACAGAGGGAGATATCATTTGCGATAGCTTCGAAACAGCTCATAACAGCAGTGCTGTGTGGTACTGGTGTGTATATTAAGCTATCAAAACAGGAAACGACATGGTGGAGAGTGAGGTTGCGTACGCTTGTCAACGCACCACTCCGTACCTGGTCGCTGAGAGAGTCATTCTTAAGTGCTTCAATGAGTCCATCAAGCACTTCACGAACGTCAGTCGCGCCGAGCACCTTACCGTGACCACGAATAAGACCATGCATCGTGACACAAGCGCCCACCGCGGCATATCCTTGGGCGTCAAGCATGCCAGTGAAGAGCAGTGCTCGCGAAAGTGAGGTGACGTGCTCGCGCCGCTGCAGTTGCTCTACCAGAATGGTGCATAGAGTCTTAAAAATAGAGATAACCTCCTTCTCCGCGCCTAGTGTGCGATCACCATTAAACACGAATGCTCGTTGTCCCAGCGCCAGGAGCGCCTCTTGACCATTGTCACCCATCTGCGCCATTGTTTCAGTCGATGCGTGAGCAATTAAGACGCCAGCAATCACACCCTTTACAGCCTCCACTCTCAAATCACGGCAGCTGTCTATTATGCGAGGCACCAGCCGTCCGATAATGTTTCCCACACTGACAAACGCGCCAACCCACTCGGGGGAACGCGCCGTACAGGCTGCCAACTGTACCCTGCAGCCATCCAGGGTGGCAAGAATCAGTTTCACCGCCAGACACCTTGCGTCACCCTTCTCCAGCACAGCCAGCGGCACTAGTCTTTCGAGTACTGGCATCGCGTTTAAATATTGGTGGTGACGAAGCACCTCGCTTAAAAGATTGATCGTGTCCACATCCCTGTCCGTGCTCACGTCGACAGTGCTGCGGACAGCTCGTACGACGCAGTCGATTAGTGCACGGGTGATTAAATCGCCTAGCGGCGGTTGAGGCGTACATCCAACGAGAGACTGTAAAGTAGCAAAAGCGCTGAAACGCAACCAGTCCGCCGATGTCCCTTTAGCTGATGGCTGCATAACACGGAGAAGTAAGAGTAGAAACTCATCACGGCACTTGAACAAATAGTTGTCGTACTGCGCAACGGCAGCACCGATCAGAAAACACCCCTCAAACACGGCCATCCGGTTACCCTCTGTATGGCCCTCGCGTGCAATAGCTAGCAAGACAAGGAAGACAACTGTGTCGAGACGTGATGGTAGTGCGGCAGACTCCATGTTCTTGCAAGCGTACCCAAACCCAAGCGCGGCGATGGAGCGCGAGCCCTCCGTCAACTCTTTCTTTGTCTTGTCACATGAGGCAAAGAAACCCCGCTTCTCCAGACCCTTGGCTAGTCGTCGCAGAGCCCCCAAGGCCGTGTCCAGGTGTTTTCGTGCCACATAACCAAGACACTTAGGAAGCCCGACGATATGTTCCGGATCTTCGTGGTTGGTGACATCAATCACAGCCTCCACTGAACTGGCTACCAGGTCACGCCTCACCGTTTGGCTACACCCAATACCCACAATAATGAGTGCACTCCGGAGCATGGATGAGTGCGCCTGATACGCCTGCAGCAATTCCAAGCACTCCAAGATGACCTGCATTGCCCACTCCTCCGTTTGCTTCGTTTTGAAGGTTTTATCAGTCAGCCTCTCAACCTCCTCCTCCCATGCCTTCTTTGTGGGTTCAGTTGCAAGGAGTCGCTGCAATTTTGGAATCCCTGTCGCCCACAAATTTGTGATTGGCATCGCAGCGCAGCCGTCTTCCTGGGCAGGCTGCTCGTAGGGGTCGTCTATGATAGGGGCAACAGCCAAAGCCGCCTCGAGGATTGTAAATAGGTCCTCTGAGCGGTGAAGTTCAATCAACATGACTTGGGAAAGAAACAAAGAAGCAAGCATTCCCGGGCGCGGAACGTTAACTGTTTTGGTAAAGTCCGCATGGAACAATGAGGAATGATGTGAAACACGGCTCGCTAGTTGGATGACACTGTTGCACACCAAGCATAAACTGTTAATAAGGAAAGGCCTCACAGGGTATTCCCGCATATGCTCAAAGATGAGGGCCACAATTGACGGACCAATGTACCTCTCGACGAAGCAAGCAGCATCAATGCATTACGGCTGGCATCCCTCACCTCAGCAAGTGAATCACTACACCTCTCACTGAACGAGGCACACGTGATAAGGCACGAAAGGATGTCGCTATATCCTGCCGCCAGCGAAAAATCTGCTTTGGATGTGCAAATCGCTAAAATGTACTCGACAACACATTTTCGAACTGCCGCCTCTTCTTGTGTCTTCATTGTCAACTTTACAATTGCAACAATGTCATTTGCGAAAGGCTGCAACACACTCTTCGGGTCATCGCATTGGGACACAATCGTACGCAGTACATCAAGAACAGCGCAACGAAGGTGAGGATCCTTCCTCGCCTCCATAAGCGCTGAAGCGCTTGTTAGCATCTCACCAAGAAAAGACTTTGACAGTGCCATAGTGGCGTTGTTTATGTACTCCGTAGCATTCATGTTATTCAGCCCGATACGCCCCGAGAGCTGCACAATTGCGTGGAGCGTCTCCTCCACAAAGGGTTACAGCGACATGCGCACAGTATCCGTGACACACGAAAAGAGCGCTGTCATACCTCTCAACGGGAAAGACGCCTCTTGTGGTTTTTCACGCTTTAATCCTTGAACCACCAATGAGACCACCTTCCCCGCCAATTCAATTTTCTTCTCGTCGCTGCAGACGGCAAAGGTGCATCCAAGAGCGTATGCAACAACAACACGCACGCGCTGCTCGTTGCAGCGGCTGTAGTCTCCGAGGAAAAAACTAAGAGTAGAATACATCACGTCACTGTACTCCATCAGGTTGCCTGGTGCGTTGAGGTGCACCTTCACCAACACCTCCGCGAGGCATCCACACGCGCGCGAGAGCAGCATTCGATGATTCTCCTGTTTAGCAGCACCAAGCGGAGGTTGCAGTTTTGTCGTCATTTCCTTGACATATGGTAGAAGGTTCTTGGGGGCCCTTTCTGCAAGGTGTCAAATAGCCAGCAGGACGTAAAAATGTGGAAGCGTGCCGTCCTTGAGGCAAGGGAGCAGCTCAGGACAGCCCTCTCTGGAAAACAGAACACACAGCCCCACCACCAGACGTAACGCCTCCCGCGACCACTCTGACGTGAGGTCGGATATGGCTGTCATTTCGCGCAGGCCACAGCGCAGCAGACTGATCGCCTCGCTGGTGGAGAGCTCTTGTGCTTCGACACCGCCGACAATGTTCGCCATAGCTCACAAAATGCAAGTTCTTTGCACCACCGGGATGGAGCCAATGCGGTGGTTGCTGAGCCACGTCATGCAAAAATCCAGCACAGCCGGGGCTCCCTTCTTCGATAAGTTGACAATAGCCCCAATAATCTCCCGTCGAATACCGGTGCCAACACTACCAGCATTTTCCAGCAACGCACCCAAGCAAAGCTTTGTTGCCGGCTTCATCATCTCTTGTTGTCTTGCGATAAAGACTATCAACACGAAAAGGAAAAAAAAACACCACGAATTCATCACACAAGGAGCAGCACTGCTGAGCACAATTTGCATGACGAAGCGCAGTACCCTTTGGCAACCGAAATGGCAGGGCCCAACGGAAGTGCTTGTCAATGGCTACACGCTCCTCTGCGGAACGCAACTACACAATATTACGAACACATGCGCATACACACACACACACACTCAGAAGCAAATGCTATCACTTCCGCTTTCCTTTCCAAAAAAAATGCCCGGCAGAAGTTACATCGGCACACGAAGACAATGAGGGAGGTCATGACTCCCAGAAATGCCCACGGGATTCTGCCGTTGCCCACCGTTGACGCTGATACGGTAAAGGTCGAAATGTAAACCCGCAGTCGATCGACAATACGAGCGCAATGCAAAGGTTGGCACGCCAACCACAGAGATAGAAGACAACTTCAAAGCAAATAAAAGCCCTTCAAAAAGCGAGAAGTATTCCTTTCATGTCGTTTTTGTCTTCAGTTCACCATCTGGCACTCAACGTGAAACTGTCCCCAAAAGAAAGATAAGTTGTGACTCTATTTTCATCTCAGCCTCCCCAGTTGCATGCAACGACAGTGTGGTCTTAAAGAAGAAGACGGGAGGTGGGGGGAGTAGCAGCCCCCACCCACCCCAAGCACTGTTACCGGCACGCGCGTCACACCCAGAAGAACATGGGTCTCCTGGAGCGCGAGAGGGTTGCATATAAATGCAGCTAACTGAAAAATAGAGAGCAACACGTCACCTCGGGGGTGCGTGGTCTATCAGCGTTGGGGTCCGACAATGCCGACGATTCTTCATTTGAGGGCCCCATTCTACTTGGTGTGATGAACGCTCCATTGAAACGGTGATTCCACACCTGCGGGTCGGAAACCAGGTTGGCCTCAACAAATGAACAGTTTTTGGACACCGGAATCCCCCCTGAGCCATCCGGCAGCTCCATGCTTGGAAGGGTGCTGCGTCGCCGCGCAATCCTGTTCTCCACGCTGTTTGCCTCCGTCGTATCCAGCACAGCCACCGTCGTTTCGTTGGGATCCGCGTCCATCGCGAGAGAAGGGAAATAAAATCTCGCACACTAGAACCAAAAACAAACAAACACAAGAGCGAACTGCATATCCCAAAGGGGCTGACCAGGAAGCCAACACACACCACTGAGAGAGCTCCATCATTGCGTCTACACAGAAGTACATGGACATGTGCGGGAAGGGGGGAAAGGAGGGGGGAACGATGCCTGACTCCGAGGAGCCACATTGAAAAATGAGGCACACACACACAAAAGGGCACAATTCTCTGCACCAATAATAATTTAAAAAAAACATTTGCTTTCTCATCAGCAACACCCACGCTTAGCCTTCTCTTTTTGTGCCTTGCTGGAGGCATCCTCCGCTCTCCGGCGGGCTTCTGATTCCTTGTCAGCCCGCGCCTTTTGCGCGGCAGCCTCACGTTCGGCATCCTCATGCGCACGCTTCTCCTTTTCCACCTCCTCGCGAAGCACTGCTATTTGCTGAAGGAACTCTACAACGTCCCCTGAAGCACCATTTGTCCCTGCACAAGGCACACCACTCCCGGCCTTCAGTTCCTCTACCTTTAGGTACTCCGACTTTCCAGACTCTTTGAGCCTCACTTTCTCCAACAGAGAGTCTCTCTCCCGTTGGAGTTCAATAACCTTATGCCGCTCAGTAGAGAGTTCACCTTCCATGAGCTCCTTCTCTGCTTCCATCCGTTTCAGGGCGGCATTCGCAGTCTCCTCGGCCACCCTCAGGTCCCCATTATTCTTCGATAAGTTATCAGTATGACTCTGCAAGGCAGATTCGCCCTGCTGTTCAGCGTTGACGGAAGCACTGTTCCGTCGACGTGCAGACTCGGCCAAGGCAATAGCGTGCTCCTCCCTCAGTTTGCTCTCCGTCAACTGCTTCCGCACCTCATCTAGCTCGGCTTGAAGCTTGGTAACTGCTAGAGAAGAGTCTGGGAGGACTTTCTCTGCTACATCTTCTGAGTTATCCTTTCCATTCCTCGCTTCCCCCTTGCGGCCTGTGCGAGGTGTGTAAGCTTCACCATTTTCTATCTGCTCCTGCAGTTCCTTCATTTGTCGATCACATTGTGCAGTAAGCCGGTTACACCAGGCTCTGAGGGAAGCGATCTCTCGGTCTGCATTGTCTCGAACCTCTCTTAATTCTTTCCGAACTGCCACAGCCTCTTCCTGGTACCTCTCTGCTTCCCTCTGTGCTTGCTCAAGCTTTTCTTTGTCGCCAGCATCATTTCTGGGCTGGATACACTGCGCAGCGAGCTGCTCAAATTTCATTCTCACAGCCGTTTCGTTCCTCAGTTGTTCCTTTAACGCCTCTGTTTCATCATTGGCACGCCTCAGAGCATTTCCCTGGTGTTCCAGTCGTTTTTGCAAAGAGTTTATATCTTCTTCTGTCTTCTCCAGTCGTTTGCGTTCACTCTCTGCTTCCTGAAGCTGCTGCGCCAATTCCGCCTTCTCGACCTCGGATTTTCTGCGCAATTCACGCTCGCCTTCGAGTGTGGCCGCATGGGCCGCCTGCTGCTTCGCCACGGCCTTGTCGTGTGAGGCATCCTTTAGCCTCCGCACCAGTCCGTCGTTGTCTGCCTGCAGCTGCTTGCACTTCTCCTCTAGCCCTGCGTTTTCTTGCTGGGCGTTCCTAAGCTGCCCTCGGGCATCCTTTAACTGCTTCTCCTTTTCCTTGATCGCAGCTGCACTCTTCTGTTCGTTGCTCTTCTCCTGTCGCAGTTCCTCCTCCAAGGTGGAGGCCTTTTTCCGCAGTTCTTCCAGCCTCTCATCAAGGGAGACGGCCCGCTTCTCCGCTCTTTTCCTCGCCGCGGTCTCCTCGCCGGCTCGCCTGCCTTCATGCAGCTGGTTCTCCTCTGCAAGCTGTAGCGCACGCTTTGCGCCTTGCGCCTCGACCTTCGCGGCAGCGGCGTCCTTCTGTGCCTGTTGGAGCTTAGAACGGAGATTCCCCTCACGTTGAAGGCCTTCCTGGACAAGCGCCCGTAAGGATTCTAACTCATTGTTGGTGCTATCTCTCTTGGCTCTCTCATCTACTGTGCGCTGCATGGCCGCAACGGCCTCCGCCGCCCCGCCGCGGATATTCCCTGGCATTGCCTTTTGCTCCTCTTTTGGCCGCGAGTTTGCTGCAGCGCGTCGTCTGTCCAGTAACGCCTCTGCGCCGCGTCGAGCCGCCTCTTCCGCCATGCGTCTCTCTAGTTCTGCTTCTTTAGCTTCACGTTGCAGAAGCTCAGATATCTCACTCTCATCCATATATTTGACGCGCTCTGCACGCTCCAGGGCACGAAACGTCACCCAATCCTCGTGCTCTTCTCGCTCCAACTTTGAACGAGCGGCGCGCTCCCGCTCAATCTGCATATAGCGAACCACACGCTGCTTCCGGTGGAACTCGTCAATTGTCTGCGCCTCATCACGGACACTGGAGCGGCAACTCAGCCGGCTGCTGTATCGCGCCGAATTCGGGCTACCTCGTCGCTCATCGAAACTTCTCACACTTCCCCAGGACACATCCCGGTGGCTACGGTAGGAATTCGGCACTGTATCTACATTATCTAGCGGAGCGCTTCCACGCCCACCACCATTTCCATTGTACATGGCTTGTTCAAACCCTTATTTTGGTTTCTAGTAGAGGTGAAAAAAGAAGATGACTGGAAAAACACGTGCAGCGCGTCACACGCGCATCCACGACGAAACGCCATTTTACGCATCCTTAAATGATCAACTAAACATGACACGACACAATGTAAATGGGAACCAGGGTGGTCGTTGTTCTTTCTGCCCCAAATATACACATGGGCACCCCAGGCTAGCAGAGGAAAGAGTTACAGCACGATTGGCCAGACTCTCTAAGCGAGCTGTGCAAGAACCAAATTATCCCTCCTCAACTTACCATATATGCTTCACCGTTACACGTGGGAAAAAAAGGTGGAAAAAATTTACAATGCTTACTCCATCTTGGTTGTCTTGCGTCCATTTGCAGCTATTATTTTCTTTAGTCTGTCATAGTTACGCCTTTGTTTGTCTAGATATTCCTTCAATTCGAGAACCCCGCCTTTCGCACTGTACCTTAGCCTCCTTCAGACTTGGCTTGAGCTCTTCTTCAATACCGCTCAAGCTGCGAATGCCTTGGACTTAGCACTGCTGCATGTGTGTGTTTCTCCAGAAGTATCTCAAACCTTTTGTGCGCACCTGTACCCACACAGCGCTAGACAAAGAGCACACAAACTATCCGACATCAGCGCCATGTCGTCGTAGCCCGGCATGCCCAGTGAAGAATCAGGGTTGCTCAGATAACGGTAGATGCCAATGTAGGTCAGCTTTGAAGGAACATTGCCGACGAAAAAAAAAA